TAAAGTTGTCAAGGATTTAAGTTAGGATCCCAAATAAATATCTGTGGAAATAACAGTCAAGAATTTAAGACATGTCACATTGGGCAAATCTGCTGTCAAAGGTCACATTAAAGTGTTAAAGAGCTAACAGTGCATCTAAGTTCCAAAATCAATCTCCATAAAAGTCTATGTGTTTCCTATTGCCAAAGGGGCCCTTTAGAGTAGTGAGAAAAGATCTTCACCCTGAAACCTACAGCGTCCCTTTACAGCAGAAGTAGCTAAGAGAATACGCTGTCCCTTTTCCCTATGAATCAGGGTGAAGTCTCTCTCAAGGAGGGGTGATAGGGAATGGCAAAGGACACACTGACAAAGGAGATTAATCAGAACTGGATTTGATAAGCACTGTGGCAATTGGACAATTAAAACAGACTTTCAAGGGGGGAATAAAAAAAGAAGAACAAACTGGGGAGGAGGGTAGAGAAAATAGTGCAACAATGGATGAATGAAACCCCCAAATCTCTGTAAATGTTCATTAAAATTAATAAACTTTAATTTTAAAAAAAGTGTTAAAGAGCAAGAATCCCACTTTAAAGACTAAGGTGCATTTGATCAAGCCATGATCTTTTCAATTCATGTGCATCTGAAAGTTGGACAGTGTATAAAGCTGACAAAAGAACTGATATATTTGTATTATGGTGCTGGTGAAAAATATTGAATACACCATGACTTCCATAAAAATAAATCTATCTTAGAAGAAGTGCATCCTTAGAAATAGGATCAATAGCAATCACTATGGAAGGCAATATGGTGCTTTCTCAAAAAGTTGGAAATAGAAATATTATTTGACCCTGCAATTCCACTACTAGGAATATACCCTAAAGAAACCAGAGCTGCCACCCAAATAGATGTATGCACACCCATGTTTATTGCTGCAGCATTCACAGTAGCAAAGAGATGGAAAAACCCAAGTGCCCATCAACAAATTAATAGATGAAAAAATTATGGTATATCCACACAATGGAATAGTATGCAGCACTGAAAAGCAAGGAACTTATAAAACATTACACAACAAGAATGACCCTCTAGGACATTATGTTGAGTGAAATATCTCAGTGACAAAATGACAAATATTGAATAACATCACTGTTATAAAACAGGACAGGCATGGGGGTTGGGGGAAACTAAGAAAAGAGGGGATAAATAATGAATACTGTATTGGAACAGATGAAGGAAAGAACTGTTTAAAAGGAATATATGGTTAGGCATTAAAGGCATGACAAAAGCCCAGATAAGAGGTACACTGCAAAGAGGACTGGGGGTGGGCGGAGGTGGTAATTGTGCAACAATAAGTGAATACTGGGGCAGGAAGTGAAATCAGGAATGGAGGGAGAGGGGGTAAAATGTGCAACAATGAATGAATCAAAATCTAACTTTTCTGTAAAGTTTTGTTAAAATCACAATTAAAATAAAAAATGCAATTTTTTTAAAAAAGAAACCAGATATAAGACTTCATCTCACATTCTTCGAGCATACTAACAAGAGAGGCCAGGTAGAAAAGGATATCATGCTTAAAAAACTAAAAGGTTAGCAAAAGAGAGGAAGCTTTTCAGTGAGATGTATTGACAGTGATTTCAACAGTGAGTTTAAGCACAGCAGATACTGTGGTGATGGCACAGATGGAATCTAACAACAGAATTCCCTAGTAAAAGGTATTTTAAAATACAGGTAATGGAATCCTACTCAGTCTCTGACCCCACAGTCTGACTCAGTAGGGTTGGTGGGGTCCCATAATCTGCACTTTGTTTTTATTCTGTTCTGGTAAATAAATCAGTAATAAGAAGCTGCATTATCAACCCAAAGATACACCCAGTTCAAGTCCACCAGTGGCTCCGAGAGAGCAAGACAGGTAATCTCATCCTGTGTGATTTACTGTCTCTGAAAATCTGCTGGAGAGTCAGCTATGAGTTGGTTCTAACTCGAAGGTTATTCTTCCTCAGTTCCAGCAAGCAAGGTTGTATCACCAGCATAATGTAGGTTGTTGATGAGTCTTCCTCCAATCCTGATACCACACTTCTCCTCGTAAAACCCAGCCTCCTGACAGACTGTAAAGGATGTATCCTTGACAAACATATTTCCTGATTCTGAACCAAGCAGTGTTTCCTTGCTCTGTTCTGAGGACTGCTTCCTGGTCCAAATATAGGTTTCACGTAAGCACAATCAAGTGTTCTGGGATTCCCATTCCCCAGGTTAATCACAAATTTGTTGTGATCCACACAGTCAAATGCCTTTGCATAGTCAATGAAACACAGACAGATATCCCTCTGGTACTCTGCTTTTTGCAAAATCCAACTGACATTGCGTTAATGTCTCTAGTGTCATGACCTCTTCGAAATGACTGTAACAGTACGTTAAATCTAAAGTATCTAACAACAAAAACAATACTCAATTCACTGCTGGTGAGTCAGAACCGACTCATCCTTTAGCAGACGGTAAATTACACAGGAGATCGCCCATTTTTCTCCCTGGATGCTGCTGGTGGATTCTGACCACCTTTGACTTACCAGTACAAATCTCTATAGACTATACCACCAGACCTCCTATTCTGCTAATGTTGTTATGTTGTTAGGTTGTAACAACCTAGCAAGGTGTTATAAGTCAAGTACAACTCATAGTGACCCTACGAACAATAGATCTAAACTCTGCTAATGTTGTTGTTGAGTACCATCAAGTTGGAACTGACCCATAGCTGACCCTCCAGTAGGTTTTCATAGGCAGTTAAAAGCACAGGAGGAGATTGCCCATCCTCTCCCATGGAGCAGCTGGTGAATTTGAACTGCATGCATATGGAACTGCAGCTGCAGCTTCTTACCACTGGACCTTATTGAGGAATAAACAGAAACCTAGGCACCTGGGTTTCTACAGAAGGCTTAGAGAAAAGCCATGGAAGCTGAGGTATACCTCTGCATCCCCATGGGTGGGGTGTAGAGTGAGGGACAAGGCAGGTCTCACAGCTTTCTAGGACAGGAACTTCTTTCCAACCTCTAGACTTTAGGGTCAGTCAGGGAAAGCCTCCTGGCAATTCCCTCCCTACGCGACATCAGTCAGTGTTAAGGAGAAGTTGAGGACCTGTCATTCACATTTCTTTCCCCTTAATACACCCACACCCACACCCATGGTTTCAAGACTCCACCTAGCACAAACTAGGACAAGAGCTAGCTGATGTAAACAGTTATGGAACTTCCTGCCCCAGTGTAGAACAGGGTCTCCTCCCAGGGAAGCGGGGTTCTGTTGGGCCTCTGCCAGGAGCAAGTCTAAGCTCCCATCCAATGGGTAGCTTATGACTTCTCTGCTATGCTGGGAAAAGTTCAAAAGGCCATCAAGTGACCCCTATACGAATAAAAAGGCAAAGAAGGGACCTGAAAGGGGGATAAAAGGAGTGTGTGCTGTGGACCCCCAAGCCTCAAAGCTTTAAATCCCTGGGTTCTGTCACACCTGACTGGATGCACAAAGCAACCTGGCAAGAGGCCAGGACAGCAGGACATGAGACAGCCTAGAAGCCTAGATGAGGCCGGTGATCTCAGGAGAGACTCACCAAGACCTGGCTTACCATGAGTGACTGCCTAAAAAGCTTCCAAGAGCATTCTTGCAGCTAATTCCCACAGGCTCATTTCCCTTCCAACCACAGCTTTCTAAAGACAGTACCCTCTTCTAGAAGCAGCAGAAATGGTCTACAGCCCACGTCCCCAGTGCTGGAGCCCTGCAGGAGAGCCTTGGCGGGGGAGGGGGGGGCAGTGTCCTAACTCTGACTCGCATTCTGGATGCACCGTCCTGAACAAGATTCCAATCCCTCTGAGTCACCACCTCTCATCTCCAAGAGGCTGGTGAGAGCGTCTCCTCTTTAGAGGGAGTTACAGCAAGAATGAAAGAATTTAAAAAATACAACCTGCCTATATATACCATCTTATCAGTGAGTTTCTGTTCTTCCCTCTCAGCGCCAGGGCTCCAAGGAGGCTTTGTGGTGCAAGAGTTAAGCAATGGGTTTCCAATCACAGGATGGGCATCTGACCGCATCCTGCTGCCTCATGGGGAAAAGACTGGCAGTATGTGTCCATAAAGATTTACAGACAAGAAAATCCTCTATACAATACGACAGCATCCAACAGCCACCTGTGGCTGTTACCCTGTCTCAGTTTCAAACCCAAGGAGATCTAGGGGTTTGGCAGCAAAGCTACGGAAAGGAACACTTAAACAAATCCCGAGGCTTCCCGGTACACTTGCTCTGAAAAGAATTCTTCCGCTATCTCTGGAGTTCTGTAGGTCCTGCTGGCTGGTGTGTGAAAAAAAAACCTGTGGCCTGGAAAGTTTTCCACAGTTTTCCAAAGTCTTGGTGACATTTCCTGGCTCGCTGGGACAGGGACCTCTCCTTGCCCCGCGACCCAAGCACATAACGGGTCACCGCTGGTCCTCAGATAAAAGTTACACAACTACACTGCAGATCGAAGGCTGTGAGCCGCTCTGCAGAAGCCGTTAGCACTTTTAACTCTTGGAAAATACGCAGTGACCACCAAAACGCAAGGGAGCATCTTCTCTAGGTTGAGCTGACCCATCTCTGAAGCTGAGTTGGGAAAAGTGTCCCAAGGTCTAAAAACTGCGTTCACAAAACCTCCAGCTCTGAGGCCCCTACTGCCCGCCGGGGTGGTGGTTCTCCACACGCGCCCTGGGGCGCATTCCCTGGAAACCCCCAGAGATGGTCTTCCCAAGCTGAACTCGGAAGGACGCGTGCGCTGGGGCACTCGCAGCGCTCACGAAGAGGCAGAGGTCACCGAGTTCAGCCTGGGAAACCAGAAAGGATCTCGGTGGCCCCAAAGCACGCTTCTCTGGGGGTGGTTGGTGCCTCCCCGGCCAGCGTGCCCTACTCAGCCTGTCAGAGGTTCCGAGCTCACAAGCGCAGACCTAGAGAGGGTGGTCCTTTGTAAGGCTCAGGTTCAAGTCCGAGTTCCGGGGCGCTGAGAGCGTCTCACCTGAGCGGGACGCGGACAGCCAAGTACCTGTCGATGGCCACGGCCAGGAGGCTGAAGATGGAGCTCTGCGTGAGCACCAGCACGAAGCAGGCGAGGAAGAGGCAGCTGTGAAAGTAGGTGCAGAAGCCCAGGCTGATGGTGATGGCAAAGGGGATAGCAAATAGCCCCACGGCCACGTCGGCCGCTGCCAAGGACACCAGGAAGTAGTTGGTGGGAGTCTGCAGCGCACTCGACGTGCCCACGGCAGCGCACACCAGCACGTTGCCCGCCACCGACAGCGCGGCGATGGCCAGCTCCAGCACCACGTACAACACATTCTGCGTCTCCAGGGGCATGGCTGGGCCCGCGCGTCTGCTACCAGGGCCGCGCTGGGCGGGGGGCAGCCCCGTGGGCCGCACTGGGCATGGCCTGTGCCCGGGACTGCGCGCCCGGGAGCTGAAGTCCACCCGCCGCGGGGCTCCTGGGGGCGGGACCAGGGGGAGGGGGGAAATTCCCTGAGGGGGCGTGTCCACTGTGTGGGCGGATCATTAATCTACTGGGGCGCGGTTGGTGAGCGGTGTCTAGGGCGGGGCCTTTGGAAGGGGCGTGTCTATTGAGTGGGAGCGATCGTTGTTCTCTGCAGGGGTGTGGTGGGTGGGTGGGGCCCGGGGGCCGGACTTTCTGGAGCGTGAGCGCGGAGGGGGCGGCACCAGGCTCTTCGGGGCGCGGTTATGGGCGGGGCTTATGTGCACGTGTTTGTGGGCGGGGTCTGAGGCTAAGAAGTACCTTGGACTTCCAGGAAGTCTGCAAGCCTGTGACAGAGGGGCTCGAGACACTGGGGTTCACTTTGTGATGAAGCGTGTGTCCTAAGACAAGTTTCCTAGTTTTCCTACTGAGTCAGGCTCCTGGGTGCGACCTGAGACGTCGCACTGTGTCCATTGTGGGCTGGCGCTAGGATGGAGACCGAGCTCACCCTGCAGCCCTCACGCCCCCACTGGCCACCGCTGTCCCCCATCCACCCCAGAGCCATCCTGCGCTGTCCCCCACCCATCCCAGAGCGGTCCTCCTTTTGGGCCATAAGCTTGACCAGCCCTGCGCCCACTGTGCGGTCCCATGGGGTATTGAAGTGAGTGCAGTTGAAAAAGGGGCCAGATTTGCGGCCTTGGACCACACTGCCCCACAGTCAGCTATCCTCAAGGCGAGGGTCCAGCCGGAATCCAGCACCTCCTCCAAGCCACCCCTGCCTTATGCAGTGTCCTGGACCCTATGGTCACCTCATCCCCTACCTGACCCCCTGGCCACTCCAGGGCTGTATCTGCACGTCTCCTCATCCCCTACTAACCCCCTGGCAACTCCACTAGCCGCTCCAGTCTCGAACCCAATGACTTCACCTCCGCCATCTCCTTCCTTGGGATGGGCTCTATGTCCTCCACTTACGTCCCCTCCCTGAAATGCCAGGCTCCTCTTGGGACCTAGGCTCTCTTTTCCATCTCTCTCCCTAGATAAGCGCATACCTGCAAAGGCCTGGCGTGCTGCCTGCACATCCTTCACTCCCACCTCTTTCTCCTCCAGCACTAGGCTCCTTCCCAAGGTCCAGACCTCCAACAGACATGAAGTGTAACGTCTACGTTATGTAGCAACAGGACACGTTCTTCAGTGCGCTCACAGTAAATGTGTTAGCTGGGTTACCATGTTATATGGACTTTCCCCTTCCTATTTTCCATGCAGTTATGTTATTTCTACAATTACAGTTTGTAAAACTATTGGAGAACACACACATTCAAGGCCCTAGCACCTAAATTCCAACATTGCCTCCTCCACCAGTTGTGTTGCCATATACTTGCAACAAACTTCAGTTACCTCACAAATGATAAGATGGAGCTCTAGAGTGATCAAGCAACGTGTCCAAAAATACTTCCTTAAAGTAGAAGAAAGAGTGGAAGAGTTAGAAAAGGAGGCATTTATCAGAGGGCAGAGCCAACCTGGGCAAAAGTGGAAGGAGAGGGGTTTGCTCAGAACCAAGCAAAGCATGTTTATGTCAAAGAAAAACGTTCATAAGTCAGAGAAGTTCTGCTTCACTCTGCTGGAGGTGCTGGACCCCAACGATGGGAGGCCAGCAAAGTAGTGATGCAGTCAGACTTCTCTAGCAGCAGTGTATGGAGAGTTGGCAGGAAATGAAGAAGCAATGAATACAGGCCAACAAGTTACTGAGAGTGTTTCTCCAACAACCTGCTTACCTTTATGTTCTTGTTAGGTGCCATTGAGTCAAGTACAACTCATAGCAACCCTTTGAACAACAAATCTGAACTCTGTAGTATCCTGTGCCATCCTCATCAACTCTGACACACTTGATCTCTTTGCTGCAGTCACTATGTCAGTCCATCTTATTGAGGGTCTTCCTCTTTTCGCTGAGGAACTTTAGCCCCAGCATTTCCTGTGACTGGAATCCTTATTCTCTTTCCAGAATCCAGGGTCCTTCAGGAAACCTAGTATGAACTATCAAGCAGTGACTACCCCAGCGTAAGGCTGTGCCCTAACCCCCTTGCACTATAGTTTGCTGAGTTCCATGTAACCAAACCAGTTTCCACAGTTAGACACCCACCAGTGGAGCCTTGTTCTTCTCTTTCCTCTCCTCATCCCACCACACAGTATCCTTTAACTCACACAACCACCTTTTTCTCAACAGTCTCAGTTAAAAGAATTGTGTTATCCTGATTCCATGAAAATCCTTAGTTCAGAGCTCTCTATAGGTTTCGAGTTGGACTCCTGGGGTTGATAAGGGTAGCAATAACAAGCCTAAAAACCAAACTTATTGCCATTGAATAGATTCCAACTCATAACCACCCTGTAGAAGAGAGTAGATCTACACCACAGTGCTTTCAAAGCTGGAAATACTTTTAGAAGTATATCACTACATCTTTATCCTGCATAGTGTCTAGTGGTTTTGAACTGGTGACTTTTAGACTAGCAGCCTAGTACTTTTACAACCATGCCATCAGGGCTTTTTAATTAGTAACAATTAATGTGTAATCATATCCAGGACATTGTTAGTTTAGTGGGAGAATTCTCCCCTTCATGTGAGAGAACCAGTTCCATTCAAGCCCAATGCTCCTCATGTGTAACCACCATTCAATTGTCAGTAGTAGTGTTTGTGTGCTGCTTTTGTGTTTCCATCCTAACATGGATTTGGAAGAAAAATAAAATGGGAAAGGCCCCCTATGAGGTGGATTGATTCAGTGATTGGGGTAATCAGGATGGGTGTGTCAGAGATGCTGCGACTGGCACAGGACAGAGCAGAGTTTAGGGCTGTTGCACATAGGGTCACTATGAGTCACAAGCGACTCGACGGCACATAACAACAACAGCAACATACTTCAAAAAGCCATCCACTGAAACCCCTGTAGATCACAACAATCTAGTCTCCAAACCTTCAGCAATGGCCCAGGATCTAACAGCATTAGACAGCATTCCATCCTGTTATGGCATGAGTTAAGGCCAATGTAACGGCAGCTAGCAACTAGAAGCACTGTTCAGGAAACAAAAGGGAAAGGATTCAGTCTGGGAGCAGTCATGAGATTCAATTTTGAAAGCACCTGGAGTAAAATAGACAGAGTCCAAGACCCTGTAGTTGTTGTTGTTATTGTTATGTGCCAACAAGTGGCTTACAATCCATAGCAATCCTACGCACAATAGCTCTGAACCTGAATCCTGCTCTATCCTGAGCAAATCTCACTGTCTGTGACACACCTACCCTCCTTACCCCAGTTGTTGTGTTAGTCCATCTCATCTGGGGTCTTCCTCTCTTATGCTTTCCCTTGACCCTTATAAGCATGATATCCTTCTCCAAAGACTGGGAACAAACATTTGACAATACCATCTCAGACAAGGATCTCATAATGAAAGTTTCTAGAATACTCATGGGCCTCTACAAGAAAAAGTCTGATAACCCAGTTATGAAATGAGCAAAAGACATGGGAAGAATTTTCAGATGAAGATATTCAAATGGCCAATAGACATATGAAGAAATGCTCCAAATCACTGGCAATAAGAGAGATGCAAATCAAAACCACAATGAGATACCATCTCACTCACTCCAGTAGCAGTGGCAAAGTTTAACAGGACAGCAAGTAATGAATGTTGGAGAGGATGTGGTGAGACAGGAACTCTTTTACATTGTTGGTGGGATTATAAAATGGTACAACCACTCTGAAAGACAGTTTGACATTTCCTCAAAAAGCTGAATATAGATATTCCATATGACCTAGCTAGTCCATTGCTTGGAATATACTCCAAGAAAATGAGAACTGAGGCTCAAATGGAAACTTGTACACCAATGTTCATAGCAGCATTATTCACCATTGCAAGAACATAGAAACAGCCCAGATGTCCAACCACAAACAAATGGATTGAGAAGTTGTGGTACATTCATACAATGGAATACTACATAGCACACAGGAGCAATCATTCTGTAAATTACTCCCTAACTTAGGAGGGACTGGAAAGCATTATGCTGACTGAACTAACTGAGTCCCACAAGGACAAATACTGTATAAAACCATTACCGTAAAATGAGTATGAGGATTAAAGGCGGGGGGTAGGGTGGTGAAAATAGAGGGGTTAGGATAAGGGATAGCGTTTTAATCATAGGGTTGCACAATTTGATCGGTGGGAGGGGTGAAGGAAATGGGAAGGATATTTTGTGAAAAACAATGTATTCAAACTTTGTAAACAAATCAGAGTAAAACAAAAAAATAATTTTTAAAAAAGAGGAGATGATGAAGGAAGAAGTTTAGGCTGCTCTGAAGGACTTGGCAAAAAAAATAAAGGAATTGATGGAATATCAAATTTACCAAACAGATGCTTCCCTGGATGTGCTTGTCACGTTGTGCCAAGAAATCTGGAGGCTAGCTACCTGGCCAATTGGCTGAAAAAAATCCATATTTATTCCCATTCCAAAAAAAAAAAAAGGTGACCTGACAAGAGTATAGAAACTATCGTACAATATCACTCACATCACATGCAAGCAAAATCCTGCAGAAAATTATCCAGAAACAACTGAAACAGTAAAATGACAGAGAACTACCAGAAATACAAGCTGGCCATGGCACTAGATATTAGTGATGTCATTCAGTAATTTCCACATTGTGTTGGGTCACCTTTTTTTGGAATGGAAATAAATATGGATCTCTTCCAGTCAGTTGGTCAGTTAGTGGTCCTCCAGATTTCTTGGCACAATCCAGTGAACACTTTCAGGGCTACATCTATTTGAAACATGTAATTGGTATCCTATCAATTCCTGGGGCCTTGGTTTTTGCCAATTCCTTTAGAGCAGCTTGATCTTCCTCCTTCATCACTA